ATAGAAAACAAGCATTAAACATATTTTATGGTGCTTATATGACTTCTAATGAGATATGTTAAGAATATTTTTCTTGATGGAATATGGACTAGATCTTCTATTTTCCTGTTTCTTAATGGAACATGGACTAGATTTTCTATTTTCCTGAAAGACAGAGGCAAATTCCTTGCATCTCCTTAAATGATCTGGGCAGTTGCTAAGCTTTCATCATGTCACTTAGAAAAGACCCATGTTTGAGCACGTTAGGAATTACTAAAATGGATTCATTTTTTTTTTCCTTTTTCTTTTTCTCAAGAGACTCAGGTACAGAGAAGATGGCCTGAGGAAACTTTAAAGAAGCCAAATTTTCTTTATAGATATCTTTGAGTTTTAGCAATTTGTAAGCTTATAGTGATGAGGGAGAAACTATAATAAAGAAAACAGACTCAAAGTAAATGTCAAAATTAAAATATAAATGAACTGTTTAATAAGGGATCTGTTTCTATAACTTCCCAAAGACACCCTCTTTATATATAAGCACAAAATTGAGGCTAGTATTTTTTTTTCCCCCCTTGTGTCTAGAAACTGTCTCCAAATATCAACTATAACAACATCTAGCATGCCAGGTCTTTAACAGTCCTTATTTCATGTATTCCTCACCTATCTATGAGGGAAGTAATATTTTTCCCAATTTAACAGATAGGGAGGCAGAATTTAAAAGAAATTGACTTGTCCAAGATCACATTTTAAGTGATGGAATCTGGCTATCTATTGAGATCTACTGGATTCCAGAGCTTGGGCTCTTAATCCCTATTGTGATACCACCAAAGAGGCTGATATATGTCTCTGGTGAGAGGTTGGTTTGGAGATTCTCTCCTATTCAGAGTATTCTCCCTTCATTATGTGCCACAGGCTAATATATCTACACCACTTTTCTTACACTCAAAAGTTGGACATGGCATTTGACAAACTTCTGCAGAGCTTAGAAAGCCTAAGAGGGTGAAGATGCATGTGACACGTAGCTACTGAGATTTCCTAGGCTTGGCTGGTTCCTTCACAGTTGGTACATTTGCTATAGTTTTTCAAAAAGTTGCCATTTGCACTGGCAATGCTGAGTGAAAGCATGGATACAGATCATTTTGTAAACTTCATCTGTACTCCTGCATTCTTGACAGCTTATCGGGTAAAAGTAATATTCAATGGGTGAAAGGGGGAGGGTGAATGTGAGCGATTACAGGACCAAGGTCTCTGAGTGAAAATTCCTTGAATTGATGGTTTACCTGGTACTTTAATCGCCCCACTCTTTAAATATGCAGGAAGATGCAGTAGGCCTCTTTTTTTCCTATTTCTACTGCTAAATATAGCTAAAAATCTCAGATACTATTCATAAAATGCATATAAAATTTGGAAGAAAGGCGGCAGACTAACTAGTGACCCCAGGAACAGAAAATATGGTATGAATTCTCTAGATTTTCTTCTTGTCTCCTAGATCTCTGAGTAGGACTGGAAAAGCTGGTGACCCAGAAATGTGATGTGCTTAGACATGGCCATGGGCCAGAGGAGACCATGTGGGCAGTCTGAACTTCTACTCCCTCCTAGTAGCCACAAGGTACCCTACCTGCAGGGTCAGCGGAGGGCAAGCAAGGAACAGTAAAGAGGTTCCCCTAGGACTTTTAACTCTGTCTAGCAGTTATAAAGCAGAGTCCCAGAAGGAAATAAGTAGATATGGTTGAAAGAGCATTTGAAAAAATAATGGCTAAAAATCACCTACATTTGGGGAAAAGACACAAACCTATAGGTTCAAGTTGAGTGAATCTCAAACAGGATAAACCCAAAGATATTTATTCCAAGACATACACATCACCTTTTAAAAACTAAGAAAGGAGAAAAAGACATCTTGAAAGCACCAGAGAGAAATGATACAGGAGAGGCACTGATTTTTGGCATTGGATGAATGGGTCGGCAACCAGCATTTCTTGCTGATTTTAGCTATTAGTCTTCTTTTTAACTTGAGCTCATATGTACAGAGCATTTACTAGATGTCTACAAATTATGCTGGGCGCCCAGGGGACATTTGCTAATCCCATTCTTCCTATGATTGCTCCACAGCAGGTATTAACCTCAGAGCAAGTGAAAGAATCTCAGAATTATAAAGAAACTAAAAAGAAAAAAAAAAGGAAATAGCAAATTTTGTAATTTGGGATTTCTAGATGAACTTCAGCTCTGTGAACTCCCTGAAATTAATCAAAAGATGCCAGCATGTATGTGCATTTTTCTAGGCAAACAACCATGTTTTTCATCAGATTCTCAAGACAGCTGGTGGCTCACAAAACCTTTAGAGTGACCATAAGAGTTTCTGCTCTTTTCAGGCAAAATGATATACTCCAACCTAGATAGAAAAGAACTAGAGAAGGTATTCCTCATCATATACATCAAAATGTATACTGAAAGTTGCCTCACAATTCTCTATTGTTAAGGAGAAAATAGAAAAATGGCAGTTTCTAATTCCTTTTAGGCACTTGTAGAAATACAGGCTCATTAAAGAATGTTTGCCTGTAATCTTATTTTGAACATTTAAAAAAATGCTATCTGTTGGTGACTAAATAACCAATGCACTGTGATTTAAAATGTATTTTAAGGCTTTCCAGGTGGCTCAGTGATAAAGAATACACTTGCCAACGCAGGAGATATGGATTCGGTTCCTGGGTTGGGAAGATCCCCCTGGAAGAGAAAATGACAACCTACTCTAGTATTCTTGTCTGGAGAATCCCATGGACAGAGGAGCCTGGAGGGCAACAGTGCATGGGGTCACAGAGCAGGGCATGACTGACGGTCCCCGTCCAATGCTAAGTCATGTCCGATTCTTTGCCACCCCAGGGACTGTAGCCCCCGAGGCTCCTCTGTTCACGGGATTTCCCGGGCAAGAATACTGGAGTGGGTTGTCATTTCTTTCTCCAGGGATCTTCCTGACCCAGGGATCAAACCTGCGTCTCCTGCACTAGCAGACTGATTTTTTACCGCTGAGCCTCCAGGGAAGCCCAGCCTGGCAGGCTACAGTCCATGGGGTCGCAGATTCAGATATGACTGAGCACGCACACAAGCAAGCATTAGGTTTCCCCTACCTTTAAAACCATTTTATGAACTGTCGTGTGCCACCTGAGCCTCCAGTGAAGACAAAAACAGGCTTTCCTGTGCTTTAGGTAGGATTTCTTCCAATGACAATGGAAAAATTCAGACATACAAGGGTGCAGCAACAGCCTCTTTACCTTAGTACCAGCAGGCTGGTATATAAGATAGGAAAACTGTCCCACAATCTGCATTTCTTTTTCCATCTTCAAAAAAAAAAAAAAAGACATGCAAAAAAGTTCTGTTATAAATCAACTGAACTCCAATAAAAATTTAAAAAATTTCCTACTACTCAATGTATAACAGCCAATTTATCAGAATAAAAGACTGTTTTCTTTGGTGGGAAAACAAACAAACAAAAACAGCTATGACAAAAACAGATACATGTGGTTTCTGTCTTTAGTGTGTGGCTGTCCCTCATTCTTTGTACCCCCCACCAAATCCTTCATGCAAGCCAGGTCAGCTCATATCTGGAGAAATGCATACCAAGGAATTTAGATTGCTATTGCCTGTTTTCTGATCAAAATTAAGGGTCCCAATGTTACCTGGAGAGCTAGAGAATGGATAATGCATTTGTTTAGGAAAAAAATGTGACTACCTGCTTTCATTAAGACCCCATAGCAGTTTGATTTACTCATACAATTCTAATGTTGGCTGTATCTACACAGTCAAAGGAATCACTGTGGACCCTTGTTAAACAAAGAATTCCATACCCCAACCTATAATGAAAGCAGGAGAGGAACCTAGGAACCTAATAGTTTTTATCAACTTGTTTGATCCTTGCATTCAAACAAGTTAGAACAATCTTCTTAAACTTGAATGTGTATAGTTATCCTGGGTTCTTGAAACAAAAGCAGATTCTGATCCAATTGTTTGGGGGTGGGATGGAGGGGGCTGCGCCTGAGACTGCAGCTTTAATAAGTCCTCTGGTGACACTGCTGCTGCAAGGACACTTTTAAGTAGGAAGGATGGGGAGAGTATGCCTCATGTGGTTTTTGTGTAAATCAGTACATGCCATAATATTTGCCTTCTGCATCTGTGGATTCTCTACCAGGGGCCTCTTCTCTACCTTGATGCTGCCCATTTCTCATTTTTCACTGATTATATCTCTAAGAGCTGGAGTCACAGTTAACATAAGGCATCTACTTGCCTCCACTTAGGTTATAAAAAGTTCACAGAGATAAAAACAGTCTGAAATAAACAGAAATGGACACCACAAATTAACTTACATAATAGGTTTATACTTAACATAGTACTTCTCACCATGGAGATGTAACTCAGTTAATATAAACATTTTTTTGTTTTTGTTAAACAATAAATCTCTTCTCCATTTCAATGTCAATATAAAGTTTTCTTTTTTTTTTTTACATTAAATCTTCTCTCCATTTCAATGTTAGATACATTGAATACATTTTCTGAACTTTTTCCCACACAGAGATATGTTTTAATTTCTGACCAACTGTATTTAATGCCTAGGTACAGTACTAACTTGGGAGATAACAAAACAAAAATCCAATAAAAATATGGAGAAAAAATTCCTCAATGATGCAGGAGGCAGTGATTATAACTGAACAGTGGCAATTTCCTAGGATTCTGGGCATGAGTTTCCTTCTTCCTACTGAGAATTCTGAAACTATGAAATATTACTTAAGCAAATTTCAGCAAATGCAAATTACAGATGGCATTTTCCAGTGCATTATCTGTTGTGACAAAAACATGTTGTTTTCCCTTTAACACAGTATATCAATTTGTTCCTTTTTATAGGAAAATAACCAATAATATGAAACTTCTCTATTAACTGTTTCTGGGGAACTTTCAGACACCAAAGCTCAGTTCTGAAACTCAATAGCACAAAGGTTTTCAGGGGAAGGTTTGATTCAGGAGGCCCTTCAAAGTCACATCTGTCCATTTCTTTTTCGTGCATACACCCCCAGACAAGCACAAATGCCTGTAATGCTGAGAATCACACCTAGCAAGAGAGCAATTGCATCTCCAGCTTCTACTGCTTCAACAACAGGCAGCAGCAAAAGCAATGAAAATAGGACTAGGAACAACTGTGTTGAAACTGAGATCATGATGTGGCTGGTTCTTGAAGGATGAAGATTTCTATAAATTAAAACATGGAAAAAAGGAATCATTAAACATTCCAACCTTTTCAAATGACAATATGAATACATGATAAGTAACAATTCATGCAACCTTATCAATTAGGGACTATAAATTATATTCAGACTCATTTTATGGTGAAAGAACCTTTGGGAAGTAAACAGTAATTAAAGATGGTCATTTGAGGCTAATCTCCCTTTCTCATGATAATTTCCTGACTCCAGCGATTTTTCCACACTGTATAACGCCAACACTGTATCAACAAAACAGAATTTGAACAGTAGCACATAAGAAAGATAGATGATGATGCATAACACACTAACTTGGAAATTGCCCTAGTAAGTGAAAATTACATTTTCTTAGGATCTCTCCCATCCATGAAATGCAGACAAATCTAGCAAAGTCAAACAACATATAGCTGTGAAGTCGTGGGGAAATAGTAAGACTTACCAAATAAGGCGGTACTTAAAATTCTATCTGACTCCCTTCCAGCAGCTGCGGATGCTGAGGCTAAGAGATTCCACGTGACAGCACCTACTATCAGAGGGGCGTAGCAGGATTTAAAAATTACACATTATTAATTATTATTATTTTAAAGAGGCATCTACACTCAGTGAAGAGCGGGGAGGTTGTACGGAAGGGAGAAGAAGGGGTAATAACTAAAGACAAACAGTTTGTTCAAACGGGAACTAGATTTGAAACTTGGTTAGTTCGCTTATAAAGAAAAAGCTAAAAAAAAAAGTCAACCGAAAACCAAGTTCGTCCCAGGACTTGAAAGTAAGACTTTAAAAACAATCCCTGCTTTGGCCCGGCAAAGTGCAAATTTGCGCCGTTTGACAAATATACTGGGCAAGCTAAGGAGCCTTCGGAGACAAGCTCGTACATTACCTTCAAGGAAGCAGCCATTACAGAAATGGTGACCAGGGCGGAGCTCTCCAAACTACATTTCCCACAATCCCCGGTGACCACAACTCCCAGGATTCTCCGGCGCGCTTCCATGTAACTGGCTGCGGCATGACGGTCCCGCTGTACCCGTGGCGAGGAGTAGCGAGCTCCCGGGTTTCCTCACGTTGCCAAGCCTGTTTCTGGTAAAGTGGTGTAGTGTATTTGTACGGAAGCTCACTGAAAAAAAAAAAAGGTCAAAAAATGACAGCAAGTGTTTTTCTTTTATTTTTTAATGCTGTTCAAGGTTTCAAGACACACAAGAATTTTTGTCCTTTGACTGAAATGCATGCACCTCAGTCTGCATTGAGATGGAACAAAGCCATCTCTTTCAGATACATTTAAACTAGCGGCTTCTAACATTTTTGAAGGAGGGAATCCTTTGACACCATCTTTTAAATGTCTTATGACATTTGTTAATTCTTTTTAAGCAGTGGGGGAAAATATGATTAATAAGACGTTTTGGAAAGTATTTAATACGTTTGTAGGGAAAAACAGGGAGATTAAGGAAAAACAAGTTAAACATTCTTAAGATCTCGGATTCAGGTTCTAGAGTTCTGCGTTTCCCCATTCAGGAGTGCAGTGTATGGTACACTTTAGAGACTTCTCACTCATGTGTTTGTGATACCCACCCTAAATATCCCCAAATAGGGAAAGTTGTAAATTATTACTTTTAAGTCATAAGGATAAATTATTTGCATATAAGTTATTTGCATAAGAAAGCCTTCCTGAAAGGCTTTCTTGCAGTCCAACCTGTGAAATCCTTACTGAACCTTTCTAGTCACCCAGTCTTCTGAACTCTCATTTACTGACTAGAAAATTTATTTGGCACCCAGGAAATTATCAGTTATTAATGATGTGGCTTAGTCCCTCTGATTCAGTCTCTCAGACACAGAAGGTATATTACAGTTCAGTGCCTGTAATTGGCATGTGATTTTTTTTTTACTATTGGTCATCTTTTTTCTTACACTTTACTAATCTCTGGACTGACAGCAAAGCTTTATATTACTAGCTTCTAACACACACACAGCAGGTGCTCAGAAATGTTGTTTGATAACAATTATTTGAATAAATAAATGTGCCATCTGGATTCCATGAGAGACAAAGCAGTGTCAAATAAACCAAAGCAAGGTGTGTTGTGAATTGGAAGTCTGTTGATAATTACACAATAAAGTCAGCATTGCTTCTCTAAACTTGATTATTTTTTTAAAAAACTTGACTATTTTAACAAATTCTGTCTTTGACTTATTTGCCTTGAGCCCCTTCTAGTTTGGTACTTTTCTGAAGTGAAGTGAAGTGAAGTCGCTCAGTCGTGTCCGACTCTTTGCGACCCCGTGGACTGTAGCCTACCAGGCTGCTCTGTCCATGAGATTCTCAGGCAAGAATACTGGAATGGGTTGCCATATATAAGAAATAGGAGCTATTTTAAAATATTCTCTTGCATTCTAGTGTGAACAATTTCGGGATTTAATTTTTCCGTATATATTTATTCAGTTAGCTGAAGTCAGCAGAGACCACAACAAATTTAGTATTATTGCAGACTTGTTCTAGGTGTGTCAGCATTGAAAATAATGGACTAATTTTAACTTTGAAGAGTCTGTAGGTGGTAAAATGCTTTTTCTTTAAATTATGTTAAGAGATCACTTGGCCTATCTGAAAAAGAGTGGCAGAAGTTTGTGCAGGGATATTTTGGACCTGTGTAATTTCAAAATAAAATTGGTTAACTTTTTAAACCAGCATCTCCCCTAAATGAGGCAGTTTAACAAAGGTGTTGCTACATATGCTTTTGTCTCATCACAGCCCTAATTTCCAAGTAGAATGGTATCCTAATTCTCAGTTTTCTTTTCTTACTCCCCTAACTAGTGGTTTAAAAATAAATCAGATCATTTATTTCTTGCTTAAAGTTCTCAAGTTCCATCACAATAAGCTTAAGTCCACACTCCTTATTAAGACTCACAATATGCCATACACATTTTGGCCTCTCCCTGCCTTTCTAACATCAGCCTACCAGTCACTCATTCTTTCATGCTCATTCCAGTCGAATCACACTCATCTTTTTGCTGTTTCTTAAACATGCCAATTTTGTGGTTTTATTGATTCAAATTTTTATGGAATCAAATTTTTTTGATTAATGTTTAGCCACTTTTACACTGTTCACAGTAGAAACTACCTTATAAGTAGGAAGTCTGCTTTTGGACTAAACTGTGAAGGTATTTAGACAGAGATTATTTTGAGTCTTCACTCAAAATTTAGGTCTTACATATTTTCTTTATCATATTAATAGCAAAACTTTATGTCTACATACATATAAGACACAGGATGGGAAAATACTTTTTCTAAAGCGTTTCTCAAACAGAAGCGTACTTTGTTAGGAACCTGTCTCTAATGGTCCCTATTTATTCTTCTGTCCAATTGGTGCACAATTGGTAAGTCCACCTGGATGGTGTATTTTTCTCTTAGTGATACTGGAATGGTTTCTTTTAAGTACTTTTTATTGCTGGAGGAGCAGTATTGGCATTTTTGGTGAGTTAGTGCTTTGTTGTGCTGACATTATATTGCAGGATGTTTAGCATCTCTAGCCTGTGCCCGCTCAATGCAACTAGAATTGCCCAATCATGAAGAGAATCAACTGCCTTCACTATTGCCAGACAGTCTTTGATGAGATACTGTTCCTAGTTGAGAACTACTCAAGTTTTCATCAAGAAAATAAAAGGAATAGTTGAAAACAGAATGAAACAGTTTACACACACACACACCCCGCCCACCCAACACTACAGTGCTCTAATGTTTTAGATCCTTTCTCCCTTGGTTTTGCTGATTTTATTCTTATCTATTGTTTTCCTTTGGGTCCTACCAGCGTCTCTTCCAGATAGATTTCCTTGATCACTGTCTTACAAAAACACTGATAAGCAAATTGAGGTGAGATTTCTGCTTCTGCTTCTGTCACTTAGTCTTTAAGCTGTGGAGGGGTGCTGTGATGTAGCATATGGAATATTAGCTTTTCCTCTGGCTGATTTCATGGATTTGAGTAGTTACTTAATCTCTCTGAAACTTACTTTACTTTAATAAAATATGAGAATTAGTGACCAAAAAGATACCAGAGCTCACGTACCAATTCTCTCGTATTTGTATTTCTGTTCCCCTAGTTGCTGGTTGAGAGGGCCTCTGGAATTAGGGCACTTGATTAGAATTCTGGCTCTACTGCTTGTTAAATGTATGACAACAGACAGTAAGCATTTGTAAATTGCAGCTTGTCCTTCTGTAAAACTCGATACAGTAGTACCTACTTCATATGTATATTATGAGGGTTCAGTTCAGTTCAGTCGTGTTCGACTGTTTTTGACCCCATGAACTGCAGCACGCCAGGCCTCCCTGTCCATCAGCAACTCCCGGAGTCCACCCAAATCCATGTCCATCGAGTCGGTGATGCCATCCAAACATCTCATCCTCTGTCGTCCCCTCCTCCTCCTGCCCTCAATCTTTCCCACCATCAGGGTCTTTTCCAATGAATCAGCTCTTTGCAGCAGGTGGCCAAAATATTGGAGTTTCAGCTTCAACATCAGTCCTTCCAAAGAACACTCAGGACTGATCTCCTTTAGGATGGACTGGTTGGATCTCCTTGCAGTCCAAGGGACTCTCAAGAGTCTTCTCCAACACCACAGTTCAAAACCATCAATTCTTTGGTGCTCAGCTTTCTTTATGGTCCAACTCTCACATCCGTACATGACCACTAGAAAAACCATAGCCTTGACTAGATGGACCTCTGTTGGCAAAGTGGTGTCTCTGCTTTTTAATATGCTGTCTAGGTTGGTCATAACTTTCCTTCCAAGGAGTAAGCATCTTTTAATTTCATGGCTGCAGTCACTGCAGCCAGTGATTTTGGATCCCAGAAGAATAAAGTCAGCCACTGTTTCCCCATCTATTTCCCATGAAGTGATGGGACCAGATGCCATGATCTTAGTTTTCTGAATGTTGAGCTTTAAGCCAACTTTTTCACTCTCCTCTTACACTTTCATCAAGAGACTCT